CAAAGATGTTATTCCCATGAAGATAGAATTCCCACGCCAATTCATCTCTCCCAATTCCCATTCCAATTCATCTCTCCCAATTCCCATTCCATATCATCTCTTCCAATTCAACCTTCTTTCTTTAATTCTCCAATTTCTCATCTTCTTCCTTAAATCTGACATTAATTTTCTTTCTTTATCAAATTTAATCAATCAATTCCATTATTTCTCCTACTTATATGGAACTTTGTTAATTACATTTGGGAATTCAAAAAGTTTTCCCCATAGTTAAACTGAGCAATGGGTATGAACAACAAATTTTTCAAATTCTCTAAATTTCTCCCACATCATACAATTCTAATTTTGTTTATCAAAAAACTAAAAATAAAAAATAAAAAAAAAAAAAAAAAAAAAAAAAAAAAAATACATCAATTTAGATAAACTACAAAATTACCTAAATTTCAAAGTTCTATTATTCACAATTTATCGTCATCATTGATTTGTCTTGCCATTGCCGAGCACTTTCAATTTCACTTAACCTCTACAACTCACCAACTTCCAATATGCAGAGCAAAGTAAAAGCAAGTCTTTCCTTTATTGAAAAAAAATAAAAAATTATGGGCAAAGTTCTATTGCCTTGATTGTCTCATGATTCTAATTGATTTTTTACAAGGTTAAATTAAATTAAGTGAGAAACGATGAAAGATGGCACTTGAGAATGGATAAGGTTTTTATTTATTTCAAAGTTACTACCGTTGTACTTTCTATAATGTAATTGTATGTATACTTGTTGTATTCAATAATTATGCCTCCTAAGATCAGAAGGTTGGTAATAGTTCAAGTTGTATCGAGTTAAAATATCCAAATATTTTTTGTGCCTAATTAGATATATGTAATCATTATATCATAGTATATTGTAGTATAAATGTTGTTTAATTTTAGCCTGAAAATTTTTAGTTTGTATAAGTTGGAAAATATGAGAGGCCCATATTGTTTTTTGAAACAGGGCCTTAAAAATCTTCAAAATGGCCTTGCATAAAACCATATTCGATTTTTGACACTTTAACTGTTTATCTTGATAGGATTGTAAGATTCAACAATTTTAACATTCTACCTAGGTCACGTATTTTAAAGATCATAAAAACATAAGATTCTAATATGAATAGCAATCATAACAGCAATGATAGCTGGTTGCAAAGGAACTTGTATAAAAAAAATGGTAGTGGAAGTTAACCACAATTGAGCCCATTGTCGCTACATGTGCTTGCATGTTGAAACCATATTAAACTTATTTTATCGTGATTTACTATGTCAGGTTGTGCCATGTCATGCTTCTCCAAAGAAATGTGGCTTAGACTCTGTCTTACCGTGCCAAACATATTTAAATGCATCAAAGAGAACACAAGATGAAGAACTAACCATCATTGCCACTGACTGTAACAAGGTATCTTTGAGCAACCAGGTCCATTACATGGCCATATCTAGGTCCAGGTCCTTGACCTTGGACAACTACTCTGAAAACACACAATTAAGGAAAGAAGATGAATGAATATTCACAAAACAAAAGCTCGCGTCATCAAAGGAATTATTTTTCTGCCAAAAATGTCACTCACCTATGCCATTTATACTTGTCATTGGTCAAATCAAGCACATATAGATCATCTGTCGAATGCCCAGCAGGTCCTATACCACCCTACACTCCACTCCAAAGCACAACACCACATCAATAAATAACACTACCAACATTCATCCCCAGAAAAAAACAACAAAATTTGAAATGCCATACAAACACTCACCTGAAATACAACCATAGTTCCAACTGCGGCAGCTGCGTGAGCCGCCCTCGGAGAAGGCGGGTCACCAGCCGGTCTAATCCTATTGTTCAAAACACCCAAACACAATCAAAATTCAGAAACACCAAACCCAAAAAAGAGACAAAATCAACAAACAAGAGAAAACATCAAACCTTGCCCATTTCTTAGTAAGAACATCGTAAGAATGAACAGAATTCGTAACCCCAGCCAACCCTAAATCACAAAACCAAATCAAATCAATCAAACCCAACAATTCAATCAAACAAAATCAAATCAAACAAAATCGAAAAACCCATTAACTGATTCCAGGAGCGGAAGAAGAAGCGCCGCCTTCAATGGCGGTTGCACCACCAAAAAGAATAAGACGAGGACCCTGAGATTTGGTAGCTGCGACGGCGGTAAGGGTATGACCACAACGAGGACCAGGCGCATCTTCGTCGGAATCCCAAAACGATTCCAAAGGGTTGTACGTAGGAGCAGGTTGCAGCCATGGCTTGGACGCCATTGATGAAGAAGAAGGAAGAAGGAAGAAGAAGAGAAGTAATGGAAAACCCTAGGAGAGAGAAAATGGAGAGAATTTGAAAGAGTTGATCATGGCGCTGGTTTGGTGGTGCTAGAGGTGGTTGGTACCTTGGATACTGTGCATTGAAATTCCAAATTCACAATCACAATTTTTTAATTTTGATTAAATTAAATTGTAAGGATGAAATCAGAAATTCAGGGGTTTTATTTTGTTTTTGTTGAGATAATAAAATTTATATTTTCTGGGTTTTGATGTGACTATTATGAAATTAGGTGTAATTGGGTGCCAAAAAAAGTCAACCGGTAATGGCAGTGGTTTTGCTTACTGTCAACTGTCCCACTCTAGAAGAGGGCCAGCCTGTATGATGATCTTGTATTTATCATAGGAATTGTCTTTTTTGGGGAATAAATGGAAGCTTGGATTCTAGATATGAATATAGTTGGATAGTTCTATCACTTAATATTTATCAACTTGGGTTTTTTATATTTATTTAGTATTGTATTTGGTTTATGGGTGTCTAATGTCTATAATGAGCTTCTTGCTTGTTCTGAGATAGACTCGATTTAATGACTCGTTTCAGGATATTATTACAATATCTGGTTCGTTATTTACATTTGCTTGTTAAATAAATTTAAACAAGAAATTTTAAATAGGTATTTCTTTGTATTGAATCTTGTGGTTACACATATTACTGGCGTACTAGGATTACAAATTATAACTAGATTTTCTACAATTTTTTACTTACAAATATACAATCAAATTAATGTGTCACTAAGCATATTATATTTTTCGAATTCCCTATATTCATATAATTTGATAATGTATTCATTCAATCTCAATTCTCCAGAACAAATTTTATTATTGTAAATTGTCCTAAATGATTACCATCATTGGATATGTTTCAGAACCTTGGTTACTTCTATTGTCCCATACGCACAATTACATCAATACCTTTATTTACTACCTCTATTTCACATTATGTGCAACAATTTAGTATTTTTTATGAGATATAAAAAATTCATTTGTTGCACATTGATAAGTGGATTTTATGTCCACTTTTTCTTGAGTTTTTAATTCATTTTTGTAGTCTTTATCCTCTTTCTAACTCATTTTGGTGCCCCGATAGTAGCATTGGTCTTCCCCTTTTCTTTGTGTATTTGTTGATGTTTGTAGGTATATATGGACAATAGCAACTTTGCTCAATAGAAGGGAAGCCAAAGAACTATCCAAGAGACTTAGGAGCGGCCGCGCACTCAAGAAGGAGCGGGGCGCTCCAACCTTCATAGCTACATTCTGTCGTTGGTCTGCAACAGTGGGAGCGGGCTTGCACCCCCTTAGGAGCGGGCGTTCGTACCTCAAGGCAAACAATCTGCCTTCATTCTGAAGCAAGAGGAGCGGGCGTGCATCCCCATAGGAGCAGGTGCTCCTCCCTACTAGGCTGCATTCTGCCGCCATCTGAAGACACAGAAGCAGGTGCTCCTCTCTTTTGGAGCGGACGCTCCTGTCTGTTCTACGCGACTTTTTGGCGGATTTTCCAATGTAATGCGGGGAGTATAAATACTACCCCTTGGCTCATTTTGTGAGAACAACAGTAATTGGAATAGTGTTTAGCACTCTCCTCATAGTTAGCTACCGGTCTTTAATTTAGTGGATAATTTAGCTTAGAATTCCTTAAATTAATCATTGTAGAACTCCGTTTCAAGATATTTTCTTCGTTTTCAACAATTGGAGACAACATTGAAGTTTCAACTTAGTAAATTATGTTCTCTTCTCTTGCTATTTTTCTGGTTTTATCTTCTTGTTTAGAAGTTCTATTGTCTTCTTGAATCTTGCTAAAATCATAGTTTATCACTTTTTCCCAGGTCTTGAACTAACTAGAAACCCTAACTTATTTGAATTGCATGTCTTTCACCATGAGTTGTGAGTAGTCTTTTTAGCTAGGGGTTGGGTGAAGCTCAACCGAATGATTAATTAAGTGGAGTCAAGAAGAGTTTTGGTGCTTGATTTGTGATTAAATTGATTACATGAAGTTTGCTTGTTGTTTATATTGATAGGAGTAGCTACCCTTGATTTTGAGCATGAAGGCCCATATGATATTCTAGGTTTGACATGGGAATGTGAATTTAGATTGTCATTACTAATTGCAATTTCGATTGATTATCTTTTAGGACTAAACTAATGAGGAATCTAAGTTTAGGAGTTTGAGTTTTATTCGTAATTGTATGATGTTGCTCTTGCATGTAGTCTTTGCTACCTCTCACTTATATTATTCCCAACTTGCTTGATTTTCATGGTTGAGTGGATCCCCATTCCCTAATGCTCCCATATTAGTGATTTTAAACCCTTTGCTCGTTTGTTTAGTTGATAAACCATTCCACAACCAACTTGAAGTCTTCGAATTAGCTTATGCATTAGGATCTTTAGCAATTATACCCCATTTCCTTGTGGACTGAACTCTTACTTATCATTATGCTTGGTTTGTGAAGTGTTTGCTTATAAATGTGTTTGATTGAGTGCGAAATGTGCGACCGTTCTACACCCCGCCACACATAATATGAAACGGAGGTAGTATTTATGATTATTATTTTTTAATAGCTTTATTGTGATGTGTGAGTGCTTCCAAATCTAATTATAGATTTTGAGCACACATTGCATACATATACGACTAGTTACAATTCAAAACATATTGCCAAACTGAACCAAAATAGCTAAGTCGTCCATGGTTTATCTTATTACATAGGATTCAAAAGTCCAAAGATGTACATACTTACAAGTCTTATAAGTTACAAGCAAAGCCATAAATTTAAAGGCCAAGAATAAATTAATTTAAATACAAAAGAAAACTATCTCACATTACCAATACTAGGGACATGGATTTGGAAACCTTGAATGAACCTTGTTTATCTCAACAATTACTTCAGCTGATAATTCAATGTGACATGCATTAACAATCTCCTGAAGCTGCCATGGCTTGGTTGCTCCAAAAACAGCACTTGCTACAAGGGGGTGCTTCAAAACAAAAGCTGCCAAACAGAATTCAGTACTCAAAAGAGATTAGTACGTCGTATTTGCCATAAGTAGATAAATCTTAGATCTAAGAATTAAAGCAATGGACTGACTAAAGTTACTGCGTGCAATACAAATGCAGACAATCATAATTTCGTAACACCAGAAAGGAAAGAGAGGTGAAAATGGGAGATATGGCATACCAATTGCCAAAGAAACTGGATGAAGGCCGTACTTTTCTGCTATTTGAAGGTACTCCTGCAGTAAAAGTGATTACTTTAACAACTCTAGCTATCGGCACAAAAATGCCAAGGCTCCGTAGCATATCCAAGAAATTTTCAACATTTGACTGCTTTGTTCTCAGCGATGAGGTAGCTAAAAGTTCCAAGAATTACATCATAATTCATGATCAAACTAGTTGTTGCATGTTGAGTTTAGAAATTGTAACCAACATAGAGAAGGAACAGGTTATCAACAGGAGTTAAAAAGAATATGTACCCTTGTGGCTAATTTTGTAGCAGCATTGGACAGGCTATATCTGGATTCCCCTTCTGAATATCTTCCTGCTTGCCAAACGAGCAAAATTCAATATACAGATTACAGTATATAAATCAAGTTGCATGACGTCATGTTTTAAAATTAGAATATAAAAACCTCTGAAAAGATTCAATCGAGCATCTACAGGACCTCTATCATCTCCAAAGTATTTACCAGACAGTATACCCATAGCCAAAGGACTGTAAGCTAACAAGAAGATGCTGCAAAGGGTTGAACAGGAATATCACAGTGAATTACAAGTGAAGCATTTAAACAGAGAGAATGAAAGGCCACATAGAAGTAGCAACCTAATCTTATAACTGACAGATACAACTTATTAACAAAAGTTGAGAAAAAAACTGCAGCAACTCAGCAAGACAATATGAAGCAAAGCTTACAAAAGATATTTAAAAGCAAAAACGGGGTTCGATGAACAACACTTGCTTAAATTTATGACATTACAGAAAAATAGGCAAACAGCTTAATGCTGATAGTAACAATTAGTATTTTTACCACAAAAAAATCTATCAAAATATTATCAAACAAATATCCATCTCAGCCTTAACCAACAAGAATCCGTCTACTTCACAAGCACAGAATTGATTCAAGATAGTATACCTCTCATGATGACAGCACTCAGCCAATGCAGAATCAAAAGTGCGGCAGAGCAAGCTGTAAGAGTTCTGGTAGGCCAAGATTCACTGTTAGGACCATCTTCCACAGTTTTAGAGCAGCAGAATAGATTCAAAATTTCCAAAATTCTTTTGTTTCCTACTTTTGTGTATTACAGAGTTTATAAAAGTAGAGGAAAGGGAGGACCACTTGGATATCTTAATCCAAAAAAGAGAGCAGATAGATTCTGCAGGACACAGTCAAACAAGGATCTAGCCTTCTTTGAGGGAGTGGAATGGAACCTGCAAGGAGACAATTTTTGGACAGCCATCAATTCTATCCGCGACTTGAAGGAACTTCATCACACCATATGGTGTTTCATTACTAAGTCCAATATATCTGACCTACAACAACAAAATACCACTAACATGTAAACAGAGCATGCAATCATGTTAGAAGTTTGACAAATAGCTTAATATACAATCTCTACCTTGCCAGCATCAACAGCTCTGGTAAGTGCATGAAGCTGCTCCTCAATAGGGGTTGATAAGTATTGTCTGCTTGAATCATACTCTGTTTCTCCAAACATGGGGACATACCTATAAAAGGATAAGACAAATGTAACTATAACATGCAACCATAACTTGTTTGTTATGAAAGCAAATTTCTGCAAGACAGCTAGAAAGAGATTATGCCACCAGTTATAAATGAGAGGACAAAGAAGATAACATACAAACCGATCAGGCCAGTGAATCTGATACAGATCAATATAATCAGTTTGTAGGCGCAGTAGGCTGTGCAATGTTATTAAGAACATTTGTTAGAGCAGATTAGATAAAACAAAAGAAGAAATGAAACATAAGCTGTCACAACGACCACTGTGGTAGGAAAATACAAGAAAGGGAATATGTGAGAGCATGGAAACAAACCTGTTATCTATGGCTTCTGTGATGTTCTTTGCATCTAAACACTCGGGCCCACCTCGAATCCAAGTCATCTGCCCAGAAGGCCCAGCAACCTGCAGATTAAAGCAGAGAAGAAAAAAAAAACTAAAATCCATTCAAAAAATGCGATAATGCTACAAACAGGGTAAAAAGAAAATTGTATCACTTTGATAAAATCCCTGTAGGAATCAATAAATTTTGTCGTCAACTAAAATTTTTGGAAGGTGTGTAATGATGGCCTTCTAATGAAGGATTACACAGGTTAAGAAATGCGAAGGAAAACTTTGAAAGAACAGTATCTATCGGAAGGCTTAGTCTTTAATGATAAGAGTTTTGCTTTGAAAAATATGATCACCCTTATAAAGACCACTATAATGGTTCTAAGTCAAATTCATGCAATTCCTCGATTTTTTTAAAAAAATGCCCGGCAATTAAATTCTAGAAATATATTTACTGCTAATGGGCGTCATTAAGAAAATTAACGCTATGTGCAAAGCTTGTCTTTGGCATGGCAGTGTTAACATTTTTGGAACAGGTTATGTTACTTAGGAGACCCTCTGCTACCCAACAAAAAAGTGAAAGGGCTAATTTTGAGGCATGAATGGTGGAATGAAGCTGCAGTATGAAAGATTTGGATGTAGCCAGGAAACAAAATTCACTTCAGGTTAGATGTGTACTTTGAGTGTACAGCAAGGACCAAGTTGGGTTGGGGTATGAGCCTCCAGCAGAAAACGCCAGCTGCTCATGAAAATGTGTACGCAGGATCAAGTATGTGTTCAAAGATGTGATTCATATGAATGTGGCCTGATAACTGGAAATATTCAATTAAAATAAGGCTTATCAGGAATTTTATTGGTTCTCACATGACTTGGACCTGAACTTAACTTGTGTGGAAAAGGTTTTCTGTACCCAAGTGTAGATTTATTACTTGGTTTGCATGTACAGGAAGGCTCCAAACAAAAGAGAAACTCTGTAAGTTTGGAATTTCAGCAGACGATCAATGTATGATCTGTAATGAGACTAATGACTGTTCTGGGACACAAACATCTACTCTGTGACACAGTTTTCAGTACAAGGTATAATGACTGCAGCTTAAAGTAACCAAAGATCCATCGCTCACCTTCTTATCTGTCTGAGAAGATCATATCATTGTTCTACGTTTGAGGAGAAACTAGCTGCTGCAGCACTAATTGCTATAGCCTATGGCCCTATACTACACAGCAAGTCAGAAATAATTGCTTATGGATTCAAAAGATTTTGAACATTAGCACAGCAAAATGTAAAAAAGCAAAATTGTACAAAAACTACAAATTTTAGAGAGTAAAGTCAGTAATATCGATAGAGCTTGGCTGGACTGTTTGTAGATGTAGTATTGGTTGTTTTGGCCCATGAGCTGGAAAAACCAGAGAATCCTTCCTAGAAAGTTCATCCCTCACTCCCTCCACTCCACAATTGATAGGTTGTAAATTGTAATTGGATTTTATGAAATAATTCCAGAGTAAACTTAATACTTACAAAAAAACAAAATCTACATTCTAGCATCTAGCTAAGCTTAACTTATGGATGAAAGCTTTAAGACAGCACGGCATAAAATATATTTGTCATTGTCACAATAGATGAAGCAATAAAGTGATATCGATTAGCTTCAAAATAACTGGAGGAAGCAACATTTTAGTGGTTGAAACAGTAGCTCTTAGTTAGTGTTTACAAAATCAAAAGGCAGCTTAGTGTAGGGGATAATGTGTGAATCATGTAAGCTACTACGCAAATTTCGCAGCTCCCTTGAGAAACTTCAAACATTATCTTTCATACACTGATTAATGCAGCGACGGATAAATATTACTTCAATTTCAACTATTGCTGCAAAGAAACCAAAAAAGCAATCGACTTCCAGCTAGTGTTTCTTTGCTATCAACCAAAGGATGCTTCATATTGACCTTATCTTTGAGCTAACCTAGCCTTACTTTCCTAATCATGCTACTCCATCCCTAAACAAGGCCGCGTTTCTATCCTAACGTGTCCCGAAATTATTAATGTTCATAATTCTATTAATGTAATTGAGCACAGAATCAGACAATTAAGCAATGACAATCACAATTATGCACAGAAATTCACAGAAATGCCAGAAGCTTAATACTACGTATATTAACCTTAGTAGCCAAAACAATGCGGTCCCTCGGAATGTTTCGGTCTTTAATCCATCGTCCCAAATACTCTTCACTCCTTCCCTGGGTCTCAGCACGCTGCGGCACCGAATACCTAATCAACAGACATTCACACACACCAAATTGAAACACAAACAAAATCTCAAACATACATAAATAAATAACCTAACAATTAGCATTTGAACTATAATTTTCATAAAAATGAAAAAAATTCAAAAGATAATTACATTTCAGCAGAATCGAAGAAATTGATGCCGGAATCAAAGGCAGAATCAAGAAGACGAAAGGATTGTTGAAGCGAGTTTTGTTCGCCGAAAGTCATGGTTCCGAAGCATAGCTTAGAGACGGTAAGATTTGGAGCGAGATTGAAGAGAGGAACTGCCATTTTTGGGGGGAAATTGGAAACCCTAATTGAAGCAGGCAGCTGTGGCGGGAAGTTTGATTGGGAATTTGCATTATCCGTTTGGGTAATTAGGGAGAAACTGGAAAAAGTGGGTTTAGGAAAGAAAAAAAAAAAGAAAAAGGGGGGGGGGGGGGGGGTTGAGCTACATCCCCAATTATAAAAACTGTTAGTAGTACACTAGTATATATATTTTCTACAGTAATCTATTTGCTTAGTAAGAAGGCTACATTTGTTATACTAATTTAAACGTTCCCTTTTAGTGGTTACGTTTCAATTACTTTTTTGGATTAATGCAATTTTTTTTGCACATATGTGTAATCTAATCATTGATTGTCATTATCTTTTTTTCCTTAATAACCACGTGAAAACACCAAACGCAATTTTCTTTCAAGAACGGAGAGAGTAAATGAATTAGAAACAAAACAAATTTAAGTAACTTTACTCTAAAATAATGAAATAATATACTACCTTCATTTCAGAAAGTTCGACTAACTATTCAATTCACGTGATCAAAATAAAGCAGTTTTGACCACAATATATGATTTATAATGTGGGATCTTGTTAGATTCCCTTATTATAAATATTTCAAATATTAGGGATTCCAGTGTGCGCAATGCGCGCAATATGGCTAGCCCTTTGAAAATAATTATTACTGATAGTCTTTATGCCCTATGCCTATTTGCATGATATTATATTATATCTATTTGCATATCACCACTTTATTTAGAGCTACTTTGATTTAGCGAGGGAATGGTAAAAAATCGAATCCTAGAAATATAAATGTCTAAATTTTAAGTACTTATTGAGACGAAATAGAATAAATTAAGCAAGACATCACACATGATTCAAAAAAAACATTATACAATATATTATATACTCCGTAAATTTTTTACTCCATATACATTAAAATTAATTTAGAATACTTTGTATTAAATAGTGTTTAAATTTCAAATAGAAAAAAACAAAAAGAAGTGGAGTAAAAGATGGCTTTAAATATTAAAATAAACACAACTTTTTATTTACACATAATTAATTTAGGGGATTCAAGAGAGAATTTTAAGGCTTTTGAAATAAAATGGGGGCAAATATGTATAAGAACATTTTTAGGGATATAAATGTCCATGCACTATTTATACGAGTTTTGTTAAACTTTTTATAAGGTACTAGGGTAGCTAACGCACGTGATACGCGCGTCATAGCTAGCCATGTCCTCAAGTTCATTCAGTTGGGAGTTGTTAGTAGCGTTTATTAGGGAAAATTTGTAAACAAATATTTTTAGGAGAATAAATGTCCACACACTATTCTTTAAGAGTTAAAAAAATAAAAAATAATCAATGTTAATGAGGGCAAATATATAAATAAACATTTTAGGGACACTAAGCTAGTTGTGCGTGTGTGCGCAACGCGCATACCCCACAGTTGTGCAAAATTTATTTAGTAAAATGTTTTTGTTGTATATTTATTATGTGTTAGTTAATTAGTTTATGATTATTATAAGTTATATATGCTAAACAATTACTTCAATATTAATTTTTAACTAACATAAATCATAAATAGGTTGTTCTTGGATTATTTTACGAAAGAGCTTAGGTCTTTTTTGGTTGGGAGGTATTGGGAGGAAAAGAAAAGAAAGGAAAATATGGATTCTTATGTTTGGTTTTAAAAATCAAATGGGATTTGATAGAAAATGAGGGAAAATGGAAGGAAAGCTATTTTACAAAATCTTCCCTTTCATTTTCTCCCAAAATTGAAGGAATTTGGGAGGAAAGAAATAATTTAAATCTATTAAACTTAATTAGTTTTTCCCTCCCTTTCCTCCCTTTATTAATGTCATACCAAACAATAGATTCCTCTCAATTCCCTTCTTTTACTAATATCAAACCAAACATTGGATGATAAGTTTCTTTCATTCTTTTCCTTTCCCTTCCTTTCCCTTCTCTTCCGTTCTTTTCCCTTCCCTTTCTTTCCTGTACTAATTTTGAACCAAACAAAGCCCTAAGGGACTTACCAGTAGACTAAGTTGAAACCTAACCTAGCTGGTTAGCTAAATATGTTATTCTAAGTGTACATGGAATGCAAGGCAATGCTCCTTTTTTTTTCAACGAATACTCACTCGTGGTTTGCAGATTTCTACTTCCATATGGTTTCACAAGTTTGAGAAAACATACCTATCTCAATTTTATGATATGATGTACTCTCTCCATCTTTCTATCTCATTTCTCAGTCCAACAAAAGGCAAAAAAAACACAACTTTAACAATGTGACATGCCTCTGTAAATGAAAGAATTGCATGTCCACATCTGTCGCCTTGAATCATTCAAATACACTTATTTTAGAACTCAGATTTTAAAAAAATTGATATCTAACAAGCAGAAATCTTAATTCATCCTCAAATCAAAAATTATTAAGCAATAGTTGATAGCTATTTCATTTCAGTCAGGACCTTCATACATACATAGGAGGCATATCATACATATGCATAATACATCCTCAAAGAGCTTTATAATGATTACATTCCTCCTTTCTCGACGAAACATTGATATTCTTATTCAAACTCGTATCTTCATAAGGGTCTACTTGGATTTCCTCTATCGTATGGGTGTCTACTATTGAATAAGATGGTAATGGTATAACAAGAGTCTACTTAGGTGGTTGTTCATTATTGTTTTCGGTTTTATAACTAAAAGGTTCACTTTCAATAACAAATTTCTTACAACCAAAGACGGTATAAACAGATTAAATCACTAAATGAAATAGATTAAATGATGAAATTATGAGAAAAAACATGAAAAGACTGTTATACTCATAAGAAACTTTGGCGATGGCACAGTCTTCTCTAGCATAGTTATTATTTATGTATACACAACACATTTATTCAAAAAGATGGATCAACCATAATATAGTCCGGTGTAAAAAGTATGTTAAGTAAGGACTTGAAAACAGGTTTGTAATAGATAGCTCATTAAGTAGCTTGGCTTCAGGGACAAACATAGTTAAAGAAAGAATGATTAAAAATTGACGTGTATCCTCTCTTTTAAATTCCTTCCTTTTACTTATCTCATTTCTCCTTCTTATCCCTCTAACCCTCTCCTTATCCCCTTTCTTGTTCCTTCTTCCTTCCTTCCTTCCACTCCCTTATCTCATTTCTCCGATCCTTCCTATGGTCTTCTTAAGAATTTTTTATTGATATACATTCATATGCAACATTCCCCACACTCTTAAAGTATTTTTTCTATCTATATATCTCCTTTCTGCCCTACATCCATCCCCACCCTTCCTCACTCTCATCCTAACCTTTTCTCATTTACTCTATACCTTCCTCACTCCTGTTTCCTTGCCTCCTCAATATTCCATACCTTCACTTTGCAGTACACGACATTCTTAGTAATTTGTGGTTTGGATTTTACAAATTTCCCACATAAATTAGAACATGAATTTTCCGGCAGGCAATAGAAAATGGGACAAAAAACAAAATGCCACATTCAACTTCCCATTTCTTATTGTGTTGTAAAAGTAATAGGAAGTTTCAGGGTCCACCTTCCACCATAGAGTTGATCTGCACACATTCATCTTATCAGATATGGTAGCAAAAGAGGGATTCACAAGCACCTCATTTAGAACCTACTCGACTAATATTTTTCTAAATCTTTATTAGAATGGTTTTGAAGCTTATTGGTCCAAAAATGAGAACTGAACTCCTGATTAGCTCTGACACTATCAACAGAATGCAGATTTAGCATGAAAAAATTATGCAGTTTTTGTTCCACAACAACTAAGCCTTAGTTCTAAAATGATTTGGGGGCTTTTTGTTCCATAGATTCTTTAAAATATGCAAACTAATCATATAAACATGAAGCAACTATTTTCGGTTTCTCATTTACTCGCGAATCGTGCATTAGATTATATATGATTCTGTAATTTAGTTAATGTTAATGGTGTGTTGTTATCTCGAAGATTACAAAAATGCACGTAAATTGGGTTTATGTTGATTGGATCGTTCGAACAGTTATAGTGTTTGGGATTACATGTAAACGGTAATAGCCACGTGTTCAAACATTAAGGGTAGTTCAGAATTTAGCAGCAGAAAAACTAACTCAGTTATCAATAAGTTTCAAAACCAAATTTAGTCTTACAAGTTGGAACCATTAAGGCCCTTATTCAAAAACCCAATAAAAGTAGTAAATAAATAAAACCAGAGTTAAATTAAATTCAAACTTATGAAATGAAATCAACTGTGGAAATATCCAACACTCCACTCAAAATCCCACCACCTTGATGCATATTCTGATTATGTAAAAACCTGTGATTAATCTGCTCCCCAATATTACAAGTGTAAAATTGGATCATTACAGGGTCATTGAAAAGGCAAAGGCCATGACCAGGAAAGAGACACACAAAAGCACGCAATCAGCAACGCTGAGTACATACAAGCTACGAAATATAACAAAGAATCCCTAGCATGTTATTAAAAATTAATCAGCATACACAATTTAATTATTGACTCAAACACATGCCTCAATTGTTAACATTACTAAGACTTCACTAATTACTAACGATAATTCATTTCATTTCATTCATTGATTGGATTAAGCAATAGACAAGATTGCCTCCCCATGCTCCATTTCGGAACATCAATAAAAGAAAAACCCCATGCCTCCTTTCGAAAACATCAATAAACATCCAATGGCATACGGGCGCGACTCCGTGTCCATAGCTAGTATGAAATCTCATCTAACTCCTTATAATTTTAAAAAGTATTTGAAAACGAGAGAATCGTAGATCAGACGACCTCTAGAAAAGTGCACGGCTAATACCCCGTGTACCCTAACCCCTGTTTGTCATTACTCTAGATGTGCACAAATCCAGAGTTTTGTTGTTCATCCTTCTTGCACTTTACGTGATTTACCAGTTTAAACTTGGTGATGACTCTAATGCAAAATGATACAACCAATCATACATCAATCATTCAAGCAATTCAAATTTCCAATTCAATTCTTGATTTATTAGTGACAAACAAACATGAACGAGTTGCATAAGGCACCTCAACTTTAAATTTTAACTACCTCGGTGTATAAACACCTTAGGTGCATAAGGCACCTCAAACCATCAACCACGTCTTATAAGACTTTGATTCTCCCTTTACTCATTCCATTTCAATAAACCTGAATGAGTATTAAAATAATTCATTCCCCATATTTATGTACCTTTGCCTCTAAACTCGTCTTGCAAGTTATTGCATAAATAACACTTACAAGAAAATCAATACGCATTTCTCATACATGAATCAAGCCAATCATCACATTAATCATCAATCAAATTCACTGCCAAACAATTTCAACCAATCTACAAGTTTCCCTAACATGATTCTAATTTTTTCCAAGTCCTTAAACATGCTTCTAAAGTCAAGGTTTTCGTATCCTTGTACGTACCTTGAGTCCGAGTTGGTTGGCCACTTTAGGAACTAGAAATCGCCTTCTACAAAGTCCTCTCCTAAACCAAACAATAATAATTCAATCAATACCCAAGCAATATAATTTATAGCAATACTAACTTACTTTAAAACCTTCAAAATTCAATTAAACAACACTAGCTTTAAAACCTTCCCTTTTACTAGAATTAAAAGCTTATATATAGTTCTTTAAGTTTCCTACATAAAAACCGTAAAATACATACTTATTCATGAAATAACAGCTAGTTTAGAGCTTTATAAAAATCTAAAAATTTATTTTACACATGAAATCTTGAAATTATAGATATCTTTATCAAAACATACATTATATAGAAAGTTAGTAGACTTTAAACCCAAAACTTCCTCATTTCAATTTAATTAAAGACTCCAAAAACAATAACCCAAAATTTATTCTTGCAATTAAACTTTAAAGTTCCAAACTTTATAATCATAAAATAACCTCAACCTTTGTTTAATGAAATTAGAGACTTGAAACACATGGAATCAATACAATTTAAACCCAAGATTAAAACTTTAATAATCTGAAAATTTATTTTAAACATTAAACCTTCGTTAAAAATCAAAAAACTGCCCAAAAACCATATTTAGAGGCTAAATTTGGCCACGAAAGGGTGGTGTTCAGTACCAAAGGTAGTGAGTTTTGATTAAATCGTCGCCTACACACGAAAAAAACTATTTTATTGTAAAAATTGGACGAGTTAGAATCTAAACGTGATTAAAAAAATATTAAGAACGGAGATCAGAAGTTGATTACGGAAAACTGAAAATTTGTTTTTGAATTAAACATCATCATGATCATAGTAAAATTCAATATAATCATGCTTTAATTAAATAACTTGTAGAACACGGTTTAAAACCCCACAACATGAAAACTAACATTTTTAAGCCCTAATTTTATGAACAAAATTTCTGAAATTTTAAAGTGTATAATAAGATTCATAAAACTCATAATTTAAGATAAATTATCACATGATTAAACCATTAAAATCAATTAATAATATCATAAAAATAATTATCAAAACAATGAAGGATTAGGGCAAAAATAAGAAGGAAGGAAGAAGGAAAAAGAGAAGGAGAATAACCGCAAGGGGGTTGTTGGTGGTGTACATACTGGGCGGCGCGGCAGTAGGCGGATGCCGGTGGTGGTAGTGCTCGGTGGTTGTGGTGGCTGGTGTAGCAGCAGCGTTTTAATTTTTTTTTTTTTTTTTTGATCATGAGAAGTAAGAGGGGAAAGCAGTAGAGTAAAATAAATCTTGAGGAGGGAGGAAAGCTTGAGGGTTTACGTGAGATTAGAGGGGAAATAAGGGTCTTGGGTTTCCTAGTTCTACTAAAACTAGAATTGTTACTTGGGCTTAAAGTGAGTGGGTTTTAGAAAAAAAAAAGAATAGGCTTAGTAATTAATTGGTTGGACTTGCATAATAATTCATGATTAAAATATGGGTAGTGAAATAATTTTATTAACTTTATAAACATTAAATTTATTTGCTTAAATCATAGTAAAATAAATTATGTACATAAATAATCATAATTAAATATTCACATAAATATGTTAAAATATAATTTTAAATTTCACAAAATTACGGGGGATTACAGGTGGGATGGGTTGAGGTTGTTTTTAAATCTCTCTCTCTCCTTCCTTTTTTTTTTTTTTTTTTTTTCATGAATTCGAATATTATAGGCCGCATTTGCTTTCTCTCGCTCTCTTTCTTTCTTTCCTAATCCTTCTTGTCCATGTTCAATCTTTAAAAAGGCTCTGAAAATTATAGGTTGCACTTTCTTTCTCTCCCCTCTAGCCCCTCCCTCGCTCTCTTCCCTGGCCTCTATATCTCCCAACTTTTCTCAATCTCTCTCTTCTTTCGGCCTCATTCTCTCTTTTTCTCTCCCAGCCTCTCTCATTCTTTATCACTCTATCAATTGATCTATCTATCTCTCTCTCTAGGCCCTTGTATCTCTTATCGCTTGAACGCTTCCTTTTTCGACCCCTCTCTCCCTCTCCTGACCCTCTTTCTTTTATTTTTTTTTTATTTTTTTTTTATTTTTTTATCTTTTTCTCTCTTCTCCTAAATCCTCTCTCTTGGCCCTTCTTTCTTTCACTTTCTCCTAGACCTCCTCTCCCTCGTCCTCCTTTCGCACTCTCTCTCCCGGCTGCTTTGTCTCTTTTTCGGTCTGCCTTCTCTCTCAGCCCTTCTTTTTCCCGACTCCTTCCCTCCCTCTCTCCTGAATCCTCTTTCTCTTTCACCCTTTCTATCCCTTCCTTACTGCCTCCCCTCGATCTCATCCTCTCCCTCCCTTGTTCTCTTCCTCTCACTGTTTGTCCCCCTTTCCCTCTCCCTTTCCTTCCTTTTATCCTCCATCTCTTTTTAAATATATCTATTACTATAGTCGTACATACATTTTTTTTTAAAGAAAGAGATTTACCAGTGAATCTAGCACGATTCTTCCATAATGATTTAAATTTTTTTGGCTTCTACTCTTTTTCTCAAAATTAGAGTTGAAAATATTCGAAAACATTTACAAGATATTTCACCCCTAATATTGAACCTAAGATCATCTTTACTCGAAATATTTCTTAATTTGCATGTCATGGTGATAGACTATAAACAAACAAAGTGAAAGTTTAAAGTTAGACTTTTACCAGGATATTGAAGTATTTGTGATTAGAGATGTACATATCATTTTTCTTTAACAAAAGCCTCAAAGATGCTTTGTAAACCTCTTTAGATAGTCTTTTTCTCAAAAACTTTATTTACTTCACTTTTTTTTTTCTCATGAACAAACCCTACACTAATACTTTTATTTTTAAACGCTCAATATCTTCTCCTCAACTTAACTTTAAATATGATCTTAAAAAGTTTTTTTTTTTTTTTTTTTTTTTCATTGCAATTTTTGCTCTTTTTTTTTAAAAAATTGCTACATATATAAAGTCAAATTTAATCTTATCCATATCACCCCTACCTTCTTGTCCCCACTCCTCCTTCCCTCTAACTCTTATTATATGGATAGAACAATTCAACGTATAATGTATTGCTTGGCACGAAAAATGTATTGCTTAGCATGAAAAATGAAGTTTTTTTTGTTAATTTTATGTCAATTTTGACTAAAGATTAAACTCTTGACGACCAACATGATTCCCAAAATCTTTACCGGAAAAATTATTTGACATGTAAGCAAAATTATTTTCAAACATGTAAACTTAGAGATAATTAATAACCGAGGGATACATACAGCACACCATCACATTAGATTATCCAAAGGTTAATACAACCCTAATTATTTTTGAAAAGGAAAAAACCATCCATTTTTGTAAAAAAAAAAAGTACAATTATTTAAAAAACCCTCCCTAGTCATTATTTATTAAAACAAGAGGTGTATTCCATAGTTAGATTACTGTAACATTTAACACACCCCAAGTAGTTATCAAAACATTAGAATTTAGAAACTATGACACACTAATGTAAGATCAACAATATTTTTTGAGGTACAATTATGAGTTCTTCAATGACTCATTATGATATTCTATAGAATCTGGCAAGGGAGATTAAATAGAAAACATATTACAAATCTGATCTATAATAGCACTATATATTGCTTGTTCCTTGTGAAGTTTTCCAGCTCTGCAACCTGCCTGTAAAAATGTAGCATAGGTAAGATAATATCATACTAATCTCCTTTCTAAAGCCACCACAAGCTACAAGCATCTGAAACAACATACCTCCTCCAAGTAGATTATTATTGTTTAATCAGGACATCATCTACCTATAAGCTGTATTTATTAGTTAGTTTACCTTTTCAAGATAAAAAATTTGCTAATATCTCAGAGTATTCAATATAAAGCCTTAAATTAAAATCCAAATACCAACAAAACTTCTCACAAAAACTTAAAGCATAGTTTCAAATTCACAAAGCAAGGTATCAAGCAAATTCAATTTCAACCAATGTCACCACTTTGACAAGCTCAATAGGCACCGTTGCTTATCTAATTCAAATTGACTCCTCCATTTTCCATTTCAAACAAATAAATCCTAACTTTTTATATATAATTTTCGCATAACTTACAAGTTTAATATATCAATATCAAAACATTGTAATTGAAAAGGATAAAAGAGGGGAGAATGAAAAACCTTGAATTTGTCAGGGAGCTCATGCTTGTAATCTTCAACATGATTGCCACTCATAAAATCAAGAGAAATTTCTCATCAAATGCACCCTTCCCTATCATTGCCAATTTAGGCCTCTGATGGCGTATATACTCCCTTTCATTTTCCTCTAGATATTGAATTGAAGTACAATACTCTGTTCGTGCTTTGGTACGCCAGGACCAGCCTACGTCTTCTCCTATACCATGCCTGCATTAAAGAAAAGACATGTAACTCCATTACAATGATCTCCAAAAAACTTGACAGAAAAAAACAGGGAAATGAAGAAAAAAAACAGGTTAGCCTAATAGCATGAAACATAGCTCTCACATATAGCAAAGATACAAATCACTTTTTTATATTTATTTGACAGATACATTTGAACTTGCACAGCGCATGCTAGCATTGCAAACTCTGCTTGATCAGCTGATTTCAATTGAGTTTAGAGCCAACCTTTGACTGAATTCTTCATGGCCTGAGCTCAAGGAGCTCGCTAACAGAATAGCATTAAAACCCTTAGCTATCGTGCATACTTCCACATTTCTTAGCATATTTAAGTCCATCAATTTTTTGAGTGAAAAGGTAATAAGGCAAATCTATGAGACTCAGCCAGAAGTTTTCACAGTAGAAAATCAAACCAATCATTCAAAAAACAAACCAAAATGCAGAAAAGCAAGGTAAAATTCCTAAAAGGAATTGTCAAAAGGCCATATAAGATCGAAAGAAAGGAAACAAAAAACAAATCAATAGGAAACAACTAACTGTGATTAATTGTAGAAGAGCACACTTGATATCTTCAAAGGTAACACCAAATTGTCCGAATCAAAGTCTATGTAGCTCAATTTCTACATCAAATTCGAACAAACAAGATCAACAAACACGGATACAAAGCAAAAAGTCCAACGAACAACAAAAAGTGAACAAATTGAATAAAAAGATTGCTGCATTTTTGTGAGGGGAACTTTGAATTGATCTACAAATAAGGAGAGAGCTAATTGAATGTCCTTAGGCATGATGGTGACCCCCTTAGCGTGAATGGCACACAAGTTGGTGCCTTCAAAGAGACCCACAAGGTATGCTTCAGCCGCCTCCTAAAGGCCCACTGTGGCTCTGGAACCTTATATTAGTTTGTAGATCTCCAAAACAACAATAAATAAACCCTAATCAATAAACAATCCACAAATTATGAATAATACTAACAATAAACTAAACTAAAGGATTCTACTCAGTCAATTACAATCATAGTATGTGGGTTTTAGGAAAGAGAAAATCTTGAACGAAATCACAAGTTCATGAACAAATTCACGATTTCATCCATCACTATGGGCTTATATACTATCATTTGTATCAAGATAATGGAGATGGTTTCACTTGGGGACTTGTATTATGGGTTCACAAGTGATGGTAATGGGAATATGTCTTGATAGTGGACAATTAAATCCATGAATGACCAAGTTTTTTTTTTATTTTTTTATTAATTTTTTTTTTATTACAAAAAAGCCCAGAAATCCAACAAACTAAATATCCAAAATTCATCTTTCATCAACCGAAATAAACCCAGTAAAACCGATTTAGAACCAGAGGGAATAATTTGTAAATAATAAAAACACAAGGAAGTCCAAACCAGACAAAATATTGTTCCAATCACCGAACAACACAGATATTAAAATTTTGGGGGGGGGGGGAATCTCAAATGCTTGGAAAACCCGATATTTAGAAAATAGAAAAAAAAAAAAAAAAAAAAGTTTGTTACTTAAGTGTTGCGATCAGGGCGATTGGAGAAGGAGAAAGAAGGGGAATCGCTTGAAAGCATAGTAAAATTGACAATCTCCATTGACGGACTTCCTTCGAAAACCAATAAAAGTTTAGTAGCCTGTAATTTGTATGTTAATAAAAGATAATTAGTACAACAGTTTAAAACTGATTGAATTTAAAAAAAAAACCCCAAAAAAAAAAACCAAAAGAAACCAGTGAAGTGAACAATTCGAAAGTTATTGGAAAAATAAATTGGAGGGTTAAATTTGGCAAAATTAATGTTTTTTTTGGGGGAGAAAGTACCTTTTGAGGGTTGAGATGCATTGAGTCTCTCCATTTCTACTGCAATCTCCCTCATTGTATAAGGTTTTGCAAATGTCTAGAAGAAGTAACAATCATCACAAAATGAAAAAGAAAAATACAGGATAGAGGATGAAGTAATTGATGAAAAAAAAAAAAAAAATTGAACATAAAATAAATAAAAACAATCGGAATTACAGCAGTAGTATTCTTATTGATTCACACAGAAGCTTCCCTGCCACCGCGAGTAGCAGACACATTTTTTCCTATCTCACCATCATCAGCATCCCTATTTTTTCCTCTCTGTACTAAAAAATTCTAAATTCCCAAGAATTTTGTTCTCTCTCCATTTTTTTTAAAAAAGAGTGATCTAAAGAATCTTCAATGGAGAATTCAAAGTATGCACAGGAATTGGAAGAGAAGAAAGATCTTACCTCAGAAGTTGCTTCAACTGATGGAACAGCTCATAAACCGAATCAATGGAGAATAATTGAGAGTATGTGCTTCAAGCCTTCAATGGAGCTACTAAACCCAAAATTCTCTACTGTTAGAATGCAGCATGTAAAAGCTACTCTAAACCTGAAAAGCCAATCATACCAGAGCTAAAAAAAACTAACATGACAAACTCAAAGTATTAAGTTTGAAAGCTACTAAACCAATAAAATTGCGAAACCAGAATTGAAAATAATCAATTAGCTTAGTAATCGCTACAGTTTGCAGAGATAACACAACAAGTCTTACTTATATACACTAAAACACAAATAATCAATTAGTAATCAACTGGTTAAAATAAAAAAAAGTTTTCCAATATATATAGCATTATTATCATTAAAAAAAAGAAAAATATTCATTCCTTTTCCTAATTGTGGGACCCAAAAAGTGCAAAGAATAATCAATTGAGCAAACATTACATGCTAAATCTACACATTAATCAACTCTCAACAAAATCTAGTGCACACTATAATAATAATTAACTCCCAGAAAATTTCAACATTCTCCTAACAGATTGCAACATACAAGAAGACTATGGTAAATAACGCTGAACGGCTTAACCATTTAGCAAAACAAGCAACAGTGCTACTTCCTTTTGTTTTGACCAATTTCCAGTATTTTAATAGTATTCAATATGAACATATCAGAAAAATCCTTAAGCATACAAGATTACCAGCAAGAGAAAATAAAATTATTTAAGAAATCCAAAATTTAAAATACACTATGACTTAAATCACCAGGAAAGAAAACAATAAAATCAAACCAATTACTAATAAATTTAAAGAGAACAAAACTCACGAAAGAACTGAGTGCTTTGATAGTTAAAGTGGATATTGACCAAAATATACCACTTTCATGAACTATTTTACATTTTCTGTTTTAGGGAGGGGGTGAGTAGTGAGTTAAACTGGTTTGTGTTTCAGATTTTAAAAAGCACACACATATAAAATGAATAATTAGGACATTGTGCATGTCAGGAGACATATATAGACAAAAACACAATGACTAATCAAGAACAAAAAAATGGTTTGAAAATTCCCAGAAACCCAATTCACCAAAACCAAAGATCACCCATATAAAAAATGAAGCTTTGAACCCCATCATTTCAAAACCCCACCTCTATAACTTCTTGAAAGCAATACCTTATCAGCCATGGGAATCGAAAGTGCGCCAAATGGTGTGCCTAGACACATCTGAAATCAGCTCCTCTAGTTAACTTATTCAATCTTGAAAGCAAGAAAGAAGTTTCAGCACTGCCCTTAATATTTTGCTCCCTGAAAATATAATCCAAATGAATTTCTGTCAGGAATAAATAGAGACACTACAAGCAACTGTATCAATAGTTTAGAAATTTTCTAAGAAGAATTCTAACTTTGGGTCCACCAAGCCTTCTGCATTGCAGATTCAACAAAGCTACCGGAAGCAGAATGTTCTTTGGGAATAGAAACTGCAATTAGGACACCAATTCCGAGATTGAAATTTGTGTTGGAATAGGAACTGCAATTAGCACACCAGTTCCGAGATCGAAATTTGTGTTGGCTTCTGCAATCAAATGAGTTCCATCAGTAAAATGAATAACAAAGACGTACAGCATTAATAATCAAGGATATTGTAAAAATTTGTCATGCACCTATAAACCGGGCAGCATCTTCTGGGGGAATCCACACGGCAACATACCTGAAAGCACAAAATATTAGGTGAAATAGATTTTATAAGGTCTATCTTTGAATAAAAATGCGGTATCGGTCCGATCGCGGGAATGGTCGCGGTGTAGCGGTAACGAATACGATGTGTTGATCGCGGACTGGGTTACGGTCATCGCGTTAGAAATTTAAAAAATATTTTTAGATAATTTATTTTAATTCTTTAAATAGATATTTTCTTATCCAAAAGATTTAGATTGAATTTATCATAAAATAATAATTATAATAATAAGAGATTGAAAAGTAATGTAGCATAAGTATGTAGTAATTACAGTACTACGGTAGTCTAACAATTTTCTTTCAAATCAAAAAATTAAAAGTAAAAGAGAGAGGTTGAGTGGTCAAAAAGTCAAATATAAAATAAAACCAAAGTGGAGCATCATACAGCTGTCCCAACCCAGCTGTCCCACTTACCACAAATTTTTACCTCGTTCTTATCAGCACTCAACCCCTCCACCTTTTTACTTTAATTTCTTCTTCTTTCTCTCTCTATTTCTCTATGATGCGGTTGCTACGGCTTGCTACACGCCGGCAACAATGGAGTCTGCCACAAAACTCCGACCAACTCACGCCTTCAAGCATTTTTTTGGGCGTTTCAGCCATGTAGCGGTTGTATCGGTCGAAAATGCCGGGGTTTTTCAAAACTCCGTTACAAAATGGTAAATCTTGTAACGGTAGTCTTTAAATCCATTACATCTCGGCCACATTGCGATGTAACGGGCGAGTTTCTATTCTATGAGGTCTATGCTATTTACAGGCACAACATATTACAAGAGACCTAATCTCAAGTGCATTACACCAAGTGTGCAAGTAAAAAATGAATAACAGAAAATTAAGCCAGATAAATGCAAACAAACTCCCATAGATTTCCCTTAGTTCACATCCATAGAAATGTAACACAAGGTTTTTTAATCACCTGAAAACGATCTCTAAACCACAGCTTGGAAGCCAAGTAAGCTGTTATGACAGTGCTAATATTTTCATCATAAAGGTATTTGAAGTATGCTACATATGTGATGTGAATTATTTTGAATGGAGTAATAACATAAAAAGATATCAAACAGTATTCGTTAGAAAATTGATGGCTTGATTATTGCCACTATTTTCACATTAAAGGTATTTGAGGTAACTCTACATATGTGTTGTGTATGAGATAAATTGTTCAGAAGAACTATAAGAAACATAAATAACAAACAGCACTTGATATATTCCTTTGCAGAATGACACATCATATACTCATCACTCTGAAATGAAAAAGAATACAACGTTGATTTAAAATCAACAGAATTCAGGTTTAAAAGGGGACGCGGCAGGGGTCGAAGGAAATTTCAATACCTTCCATCAAGAGCACGATGAACACTCAAATGGATTTTTGCACTGCGAGCATTTTGGATTCCCATGATATGTTGGTCACTGCAGAATACAGTTGACAGTGAAAATGCAGAAAATCACCCAAAAAAACATCAGTAAACTTCCTGAATTACTTAGGTAATTAAAGTTAGCACATAATAATTTATTCTTTTCCTGATCACAATAAAATAAGATGATAATTTGCTTCAAAGGACAAAGGAATCCAACACCAGTTTGAACGATTCCATAAGGAGTTTTCCATGCAGTTTAATGTTAATAAATATAAAGAAACTCCTAATATAATATAACTGTGCATTCTGGCCAAAAGAAAATATGCCCTTCACCTTCTACTAAAAAGCCCTACACATAAAAATCTAAGCTTTGCTAGAGAAATCCTTCTTATCTTTGAGGCAAATGAAGAGAATGAATTGCTCAAAAAATTGAGAGAACCTTACGTGCGTTGTGCTGTAATTGCTCTACCTAAACCTAATGATGATAAGGAAGAAGATTCAGTTAAAAGATCAGAATAGTCCACAGCCAAGATGAAATATACCCATGTTTTTCTGATCATTCAAGATGTTTGTGCATTTATTTTTATTTTGTTGGAAAGGGGGGAACTAAGGAATGGTTGCAAAAATCCTCCTAAACTGTCATTGCTGTTTATGCTAGCCTAAAGGGGTATGCAAAGGTTGCAGCACCAAAAACTAATGCAAAATATTCCATCAAAAGTGTATATGGAATTTTTATGTCACTACGCAAGGCAATGCATGCAGATAATATTGTATGAAAAGATAACAGGCTATCCTTTGAAGATATCAGGTGTATCCAAGGTAGAGAGACTGAAACTTACAAAAAGATGATGGAAATTCATTTCCAATTGAGGCTAATGCCAAGCAGAACTTTGAGGCATACAAAGTGTAGTAGTGTACTTTCCTAAAGATTTTATTAGTCCACTGCGAATCTATTTTTTTGAGGCATACAATGAAGTTTGCCTTTATTGGTGATTACTGCGAATCTATTTTTTTGAGGCATACAATGAAGTTTGACTTTATTGGTGATTGCATCACCCAAAAATTAAGTATTAAAGTATACAGGTAAAAGACAATAAATAATGAGGATTCCCATTCCTCTCAGCTACTGTCCACTCTACTGGAACACATATTCCCTAAGAATATATTCTTCTCAGCCTAAAAGTCAAACAATGAAACCACCACAAAGCAAAGAATTTGAGCACAAGAGGTGCAAGACCATGTAATTTGGCAAGGTCCAATTGTATACTATCTGGTTGTCACATAGAAATATATCGAGATCTTCTACACAACCATGGCATGCATATACATGGTCCAATTGAGCACTTTCCATCTTTCAAAACTTTGCGTTTGTTTCATTTGCACTTATCTAGAGTATATTGTCTTCCATTAATGATTAATCTAAACCAAATCTAGTTTTTAATAAAAACCCACATTAGACAGCAACCAGAGTTTTATTCCCAAAGAATTATCACATCATGATTGTTCTGAACACTTGGAAATAGATCAAACAAGAGTTGATTGAAAGAAAGGCTGAAGGCTTATTAGACACTTAAATTCAACCTACATACCAAGATTCATATAATGAAAGGGTTCAAAAAAGTGACAATGAGCAGTAAACCAGCTAATAAACTACACATGCAGGATAACAAAAGGGAAGCATGGTGAAGACTACAACTAAGATACATCAGAATATATTGCAGTCTTCAGTCTTCTATCACACACTAAAAAAATGTACAGGCAGATATATTAAAGGGCTCACCGAAGCTCTTTTGGGCAATATATTAAATAATCCTCGCCAATTTGAGGAGTAACTCTCTCCAACCTTCTTGTATCCATGTTCAGCATCACCCACTTACTGCAATAAGAAAAAGAGCTGGTTAGCAGCCATCTTTAACAAAAACCAATACAAGTATTTAGGCTTTTTCTAAAATGCACCAAAGACAAAAAGGTTTATTATTCATCAGCAAGAGACCACTTCTCTTTTTTTTTTAAGGGTAGGACTGTGAGGGGGGGGGAGAGAGTTGACCATACAAAAGCCTTTACAGTTACCTATATGGTACCAGACAACATTCTTATCCCGGTGGAAATCTAAAAAATTAAATTCTTACTCAGTTCCTACCGTCCACTATTTCTGTAAATAATGAACATAAATCTAATACGTACACGGGTCTTCGAATCAAATTGTGCTTTAGTGTCATCTGATTCAACATAGAAGAAAAAAGGCTAATTCCACATGTCTAAAATAAAATGTTTCAACAAAGACAGGGAATATACAAGTAGCAAACAGTCTTTTGAAAGGGGAAATCCTTATGTTATATCCATAGAAGAAGAAAGGCTAATTCCACATGTCTAAAATAAAATGTTTCAACAAAGACAGGAAATATACATTTAGCAAACAGTCTTTTGAAAGGGGAAATCCTTATGTTATATCAAACTGTACAACCTGTACAATACACATTTTAGTAAGACACCAATCACACAGACATTACCTACAACGCATGAGAGAAATGAGAAGAAATAGGTCTGATGACTGGAAATTACCTAGAAGCTCTTCCGATAACTTCACCATTTGCATAGTCCTTAAGAATGAAATCACACCTCGTCCCAATTTTTCCTTCAGCTTGCCACCACGTCTCTATCTCAACTACATCACTCCTGCACCACATATAAGACAGGTCATTGAATAACATGACCTGGAAAACCTCAACAGCAATAGAAAAAGTAAACATACCAAGCTGGATATCGGTATATCTCGATGTGCATGCATGTAGTCACCCATATGAGATGAAGCTTTCTCATGGTAGGGGTTGTTGCAAATCCATCAGTTGAGAATCCAACACTTAATGCATGGTTTCACCCCACTTCCTACATCACAAAGACCCCTTCTAACATTAAAATGGAACAGAATATAGTGTTTTTTCATAAAGCAAATCCTGTGAGAGAAAAGATCTCTTAACAGCACTAATACAATAGTTATTTTTCAAATTGATACCAATATCACGTATCTATGGATAATAGAAGATATCGGGAAATGACAAGGAAGAATCAGTTCATGGAAGTTGCATAAAGGATTACCAGCACAATGCTACACAATGACTATAACACAGATTAAAGAATAATCAATGACATGATCAAATGAGTCTTAATTCAAAATTTGGCATTCACATAGTACAAATTTTCAAAGGTTCAGGTTCAGTATCTCTTGAACTACGGGTCACAACGATCTTGTCATTTGTTCCTTATAAAATAAAATGTCTAAGCTCTTGGCGACGTTGGCGTAACAGCCATAAGATGTTATTTCATGCTTCTGGGGAGAGTAGGCCAGCAATGATTGATAACTACAGCCACAAAAGATACACCTTGCAGCCTGCACCAATATCGTTTCCCAGATTAAAGTGAGATAAAGTTTTGATACAGCCAAGAAACAAAGCTCAAGAAAAAGAAAGCGATAAACATCGATAATTCCTCAGCCAAGGTTCAATAGATATATCATCATCACAAGAAGTTACTGAACCTAACAGGCATATGGTCTTCAAACTCTTCAATCAAGTTCTTAAATCAGTTATATCAGTTCCAACTTCCAATCAAGGCTGACAACCTAAAGCAAGATTCCATTTTCAGCTGGCTTTAGACTTAGTCTTTTTGTTCTTTTTACTTTTACAGGAACACTAATTCCACGCAAGAGCTAGGGAAGTTCAATTTCACAACTAAATTAAGTTTAAATTGATTATCATTCAAATGAAAAGAACAAAGCCTCAAATCACATAACTAGGTAATTACATTCTTTGCCTCTAATATAACTATTCGAGGATCAGAATTGTAATTTGGTTTCCGAAAGCAGAGCGCAATTCTTAGCAAAGCATACTACTTGCCTGTGAAGTATATACTTGAGGCAATTTCACATAGCCTGCTCTATCATATAGCAACATATACATCTTCAATTAGCCCCTGAAAACTAAATCATTGTAAATCAAGATGATTCTGCTACAAAAAACTATCAATTGTAACACAAATTTAATACGATTTTGCCAACAATTGACTGTAATATACATTATACATGATTCTGATTTATGCCTCATATATTAGTAATCTAGTATTTTACTGGAAAGTGTTAGAAATGGAGGGTCAACATTCACAATTTACCTTCTTTACCTTGTGTGCACTTCTTTCTAGTTCAAGTTGAGACTGTGCAAGGTCTCTTTGCCACTTAATCTCTCCCTTTTCCCTCTCCAACTATACATAATAACAAGACTTTAGTCAGTTTGTATAATTAGAAAGCGGTCTCATTTCCCCTCACTCTCTTGTAGTTTTAAAGGGTGGTCACTGTGGGGACAAGATGAGATTATCTGTGCTTCAAACATTTGCTTAATAAGTAGCAGAACAAATGTAATCTATTTCAAGAGTTTCAACACATGCTAAAGGCTGAAATGGTTCTGTTTGAGCAACAATAATCCCGGCGTGTAAAGTTTTTAACAAGCTAAGAAAGCATACCTTCTAGATTTTCGCACTTTTCTCAACCAGCAGTCCCTTTAAAGCTGATGAAGACGAAGGTTTTGGACTTTTGAGCAGAAGAGAGGCAAGAAAACAAGAATGTATATTTTCCTTGGAGGCTTTGATTTGAATGGAGTTGAATGGAGAACACATTATTGACAAGACTAAAATCAATCAGCAACCTGGATTCCACCAATATAGAGAACTCAAAATCAGTACAACTTAAACTTCTTTGATTCGACATTCAGATTTGCAAGCCCACATCATGCAGAAAATAGAAGGGAAAAAGTATCCTACGGAGTATATGAACATGTAAGATAAAAAAAAATTAAAATATTACATTATCTAATGGGAAAATGGCTTGGTAATGAGGACCAATTGTATGCTACCCAAATTTCTTACAATATCCCACATTAGCAAATAACTTAAATCTGACAATGCACTATTTTCCTCATCTTCTTCCTTCTCTTGCTTCCATAGCTTCTCTCTCCTCATCGACTTCACTGAAATTGCAAAAGCAAAAGAATACATTTCAATTCTCAATTCAAGGTAAAACTAATTTTAGTTAATGGTCAATAAAGTATGAGTAATTGTTTCCCCAAATTTCACTAATACTCACATGGAAAATAAAGACATCAAAAGGAAATCAGATTCAACTATCCGAGTAAAAACTACAAAGACCATTTTTGGATCTAATCTAATTACAAACTAAATTCAATTTTTTTTTTCCCACTCAAACCAGAAATCTAACAGTATCCATTAACATAATTTCAGTCTAATTGAATACATAAACATAAACAAAAGCAATCTCATTTTTCGCAAATCTTATTGCAGCAACTTTGATCATCCTCCAGCAAACAACCTAAATAATGAAGCCAACACTCCAAGTCATCGGGACTCCCAGGTCAAAAAGAGCAATGAGGTTAAACCGTTAAACTTTGAAAAAGAGATGTTAAAAACCAAAAACTGCAAAATAGTTACTAAGAAATTCCAGACCAAAACAACTTTATCGGATGAAATAAATGTCCCAAGGCAAAAGGACCACATAATAGCACAATTTTAAGCTAAAGCATTAGTAAAAAAAATACAAAGTATAAATATATATATCTATAAAATCAAAAATTAAAAAGGTCCAAGCCTCAGCCCTTGGGACCTCAGCTCTAAGCAGCTTAAAATCCTATACAAAAGCTATAAAAAAAGAGAGGTGACAGTCAGCACATGAGACAACTCTAGTTAGCTTAACTCGCATTCTACTAAGCAATGACAATGTAATAATAACTACAACAAAGTCCAAATGCATACCACATTTGTAGAATTTTCTGAAATGTACTGGCTGCGACAGCATTGCCACCTGACTGAGCAAGAAGTCTACCCTGGAAGCTTAAGTAAAACAGAACAAATAGGAAATCGAATGCAAGAAAATCAAAAGAGCTTCAATGTCTATGTTAACAATTATTCAACCTAAGAAGAATTATTATGCATGCTAATCACCAGACACAAGTATTTACCACAGAAAACTTTGCAATTCATAGTTTGGTCTCCATTATACGTAAAGGGGTGTTTGCAGGGCGGCAGGAACACTCTTACTAAAACAACTAAATGGGAACAGTTTCAAGCATTTCACAAAGCTTATGATAACAATATGAGGAAATTAATTCACTCAAGCACCATAGTCAATAAACAAAATAACAAAGCACAAGAAAAAAGCTTCAGAAAATACCTGCAAGCAAATCCTGTCAACATCGATCAGATGCTAATTTTCCTGATAGCATCTCTAAAGCATCGCCATACTTGCCTTGTTGTTCCAGCACAGAAATGTACACAATAAGAGCTGCACAATATGTAAATCATTCAGTACAAAAGACCAGATAAACTATATGATTTATCATTCAGACATTGGAAAAGATATCCCATACAGAATTACAGACCTTCCGGTTCATGCAAGCTATGAGAATTGGAGATGTGGAGTGGATGAAATGGCAGGGTAAAATGCTAATAGGAACCGCGCAGAGGTGAGAAAAAGAGGGTTAGAAAGCGGTATAAGGGCAGAATTGTAATTTCTCAGCGCGAGGACATAGGCGGAATTTTACTGTAGATAAGCTTCAGTAGCAGTTCTCACTTTTTTAAGGGTTTTAGATAATCGAACACTATTCATAAAGTGTGGTCATACTTTTAAGGAGTTGTTTGGTTGAACTTTTTGGAATGGGTTGGTCCATGATTTTATTTGTTTGGTTGGGCTATTTAAGTATGAAATCTCATACCTGGGGGATTCTAACTCCACCTCATTCCATTGAAATCTCATACCTACCTCCCCCTAAGGATTCATAATCCATACTACCATTCAAGTATGAGAATCCATTCCATGGTTAAACCAAACAACTTTAGATTGGTATGGGATATTAGAATCCATACCACCCAAGTATGAGAATCCATACCAATCCATTCCAGCTTAGTGAACCTAACGACCCTAAAAGGGGTGAATACGTAATTTAAAACATTTTTAGGGGTAAAATAGTCTCAACACTATTCATAAGAGTATACTCATACTTGTAAAAAGGTAGGAAAGGATAAACTTTATTCATGGTCAAATATATTCATTGGAGATTGTGCAAGCAAAATGAGTCGAACTATCAATAACGAACGGAGGGAGTATTTTTAAGGTCTGAATGTTCGAAAAATTTTATGCTTGTAACAACTTCTGTTTTGAAGTACCATTGTAGGGGTATAAAGTAATTGCACACATTTATTAAAATCCTATGTATAAAGTAAAAAGACCTTTTGGGTGATAAATTTCACTATCCCTAAATTATCCCTCTCAAGTTGTAAAATACCTCTCTTATTCACAATTACAATTAAAAATTAAGAATTATTTTTAAAAAAAAAATGTCCTATCATGACTACCCTATAATAACTACTCCCTTTCTTCCGCATAAATTTATATCTTCATTTAACTGTTCTCACTCCCCATAAAAAATAAAACTACTCTTGATTTTTTTTTCTGTTTCTTTTTTTTTTTTTTTTTTTTTTTTTGAAAAAACTTCTCCTAAATTTGCTCATTTATGGTTTTTCTTTCTTCTTCTAATCTAATATATATATATATATATATATATATATATATATATATATATATATATATAAATATATATATATATATATATATACATACATACATATATAGGGGAGTTTTTTTCCGAGTTTTTAGAGCGCCATGTAGGATTTTGATTTTTAAAAAATTATTAGAGCGCCACGCAGGTTTAATATTTTTAAAACGCTACCATCGGATTATGTCACGTAAGATTAGTTTTTTTAAAGCTTTATGTAGGATTATAATAAAAAAATAAACGCCACATAGAATTAATATTTTAAAACGCTACAATAGGATTATGCCACGTAAGATTAGTTTTTTTTAAAGCGCTACGTAGGAATATAATAATAAATATAAATTTATCAGAGCGTCACATAGGAAAATGTTATATTTTAGCCAATGAAAAAGGAATTGCAATTTATTTTAGATCTAAAATTTTACATTAATTATAAAAATAAAATCAACGCGTTTACTGTGTGGCTGGCCATATCGTATGGCGGCTGAGACACACCAAAACACTGACCGAGTAACCTTGATCGTGCGAGTAACCCCTGATCGATTAAGTAACCCTTGACCAACTGAGTAACCCTGACCAAATAATCTCAGCCACACGGTGTGACCAGTTATATATGAAACTTTGTGAAATAAATATTATCTTTTTATATTAGGAATTTTTATCTAAATATGAAAAACAAAATTAATAATTCATTTTATAGTAAAAAATTCAAGTAGTAAACAAGCGAATATCACAAAGTTTATCAGATAAATATATATTTAGTAAAATATTTTGTTTGAAAAAAATACAAACAAGTTGTATATCACACGGGCTTCATCTAGTTTCTTATATTGTACACGCATGTACCTCTTAGCTGGTATTGTACAAAGTGAAGAGGGGTTTTGGGTGATTAAATTTCACTTTCCCAAATTACCCCTTCTATTTTTTTAGGATAATACAATTATACAAATACTTTATCAAACGTTTTTTTAATTAATTGATAAAAAAAATAAAAAAATAAATAAAAAATAAATAAAAAAAAAACCTTTATAACTTCAACAATTGCTTTTTAATAACAATTTTTATTTTTATAATTTTTTTACTAATATTTTTTTTATCAATTATTTTTTAATTTGCACCCGTTAATATTAATAATTGTTTTTTAATATTAATATAGCCTAATAGGTTTCTTATTAAGCACACACGGATTAAGTGTGTTTCTTAGCTTGTAGTAATAAAACAAAGGAGAGAGGGAAAAAGGGTCTGACATTTGGTTGGAGGGCTGATAAGAGAAATAACAAGGGATCGGGATTTTATAAAAGTTATTCTTGATTCCCTGTCCTTTTTTTAGCATGGATGGAAATGAGAATGCATAAACCTTTCTTTGTCTCATGTTGGGTTTGGAAACTAAAATATGGGGATAAATAACATTATTACATTTTTACCATGATCATATAAGATAAGGGCTTAAATATAAAAATAAAACTTATATTAAATAATTAGAAATTTCGTAATAACCACCTCTAAAAGCACCCTTGTAGAATTAACCACCCATTATTTTTAAAATTAAAAAATACCACCCATTAAAGACAAAACCAGTTGATATCACTACCCTTCTCTTATTTCGGTCAGTTTCCAATTTAAGGGCCCACATATTGGTTGTATTCTTCTTCTTTGCTTGATTTTTTCCTCACTCTTAAAAAATCTCTCAAATTTTTTTTCAAATTCTCCTATTTTTTGCACTAGATCAAGGAAATTAACAAAGGAATTATTTAACTTGGGGATTATTTGAATTGAAAAATAGGGTTCTTGTAAATGAAATTGGGGATTTTTTGAAGTTGACCAACGAAGCCCGATTAAAACCCGAACTGAGCAAACCACCTTGACTGGATACCGATTTATTGTTGTGGAGCTGAAGTTGAGGGTGTTGTGGTACAACGGCAGTAAAGATGTGGTGCCTTGTTGTTGTGTGCTCTTCGATGAAATTAGGGTGATTTGGGTGACAATGTTGCAAGTTGGAATTACTGGCGTGAAGGGAGGTGAGAATTGCTGGCGTGACAGTGTTGCGGGTTCAATGGTGGTGGAGCTTCAAATAAGGTGGCGGTTTCAAAGATGGATGGTGGTGAATGAATGGTGGGTTTTAAAGTTGGACCTGAACGCAACAAGAAAAAGGGAAAATATAGGGAAGGAATGTGCAATGGTGGGCCCCCCAAGTCGGAAAACAAGCCGGAATAGGAGAAGGGTGGTGAAACCTACTGGTTTTATCTTTAATGGGTGGTATTTTTTAAGTTGGAAAAAAATAGATGGCTAATTCAACAAAGGGTGCTTTTAGGGGTGGTTATTGACAAATTTACCTAAATAATATCATAACAAATAAATAGAAGCTAAGTATAACAGTCCATACATACTAGTTACACTACAAATTTTTTTCTCTACTCTACTTACAAAACTCTCAAATATTGTTGTTCTTAGAATATTTTATTTTATTTGTCATTTTCAAGTATTTTTTTATTGTATTAGATAATAATAGAAGATAATTACTTGGGATTTTTTTTTTGTGAAAATCCTAGATCTTATATGTGAGAAACATAATAAATTTATCTCAGTGGGCAAGAAGATGCTTTTTTCTTGTTTGTTAATTATTCAAAATGTAAAAATATTTACAGTATTACCACTAAGATTAACAGGGTCGTTTATCTCGGTTATAAATCCGAGCTCCCTCCTTTTTTTCACATCACAAATAAAGAACTAAATAATAGTGTATTTGAACATAAGCAATAGGCTACAAAAGACATAATAGATAATGCATTTGGTGTTCTCCAATCTCGGTGTGCAGTTGTAAGAGGCTCATGTAAGGTATGACATCGAAAAATAATAATAAAAAAAAAATATAATGTGCGCATGAATAGTACTACATAACATGATTATTGAAGATGAAGGAAGATCAATAAGTGAATGGAACGAGAGAGTATACTACTATACTCTACTCCATTCCCAACGAATCATGGGTTGATTTAATAATTTTAGCAAAGTTCTTGTTCTCTTCACCTTATAAAAATAAGTTTCAGATCTAATAAGTTCAAATAAATTCAAATAAGTTTAGATAAGTTACAATAAGATCCATTAAGTTTAATAAGGTCTAAAAAGTTCAATAAGGTCTAATAAGTTCAATAACGTCTAATAAGTTAAATAAAGTCTAATGAGTTTCAATAAGTTAAATAAGGTCTAATAAGTTTCAACAAGTTCTAATCAAGCCCAATAATAAAGTCTAATAAGGTCCAATAAGTTTCAATAAGGTCCAATAAGTTCTAATAAGTTCAATCAGGTCTAATAAGTTTCAATAAGTTCAATAAGGTCTAATAAGTTCGATAAGGTTTAATAAGTTTAATAATGTCTAATAAGTTCAGATAAGCTCACATAAGTTTAGTTCAGATAAGTTAAGTCCATTAAGGTGAAGAGAACGAACACACCCAAATTCTACAAAGGCATGTTTGGTTACGTGACCTTGAAATAATGCACCATCAACTCCGAGCTGATTTGGTTTAACATATATTGGCAAAATTTAGAGAAATTTTTGACTAATAAATGTTTGGATATTTTAGATTTTAACACCAGACAAAAACCAGAAAATGGATTTTAACACCCCCGTAAAAAATAAATTAATTTTAACACCAGATAAATGTTACACAAATGGTTTTTACCACCACTTAACAGGCTCTGTCCAAAAATTCCGTTCAGTGGGGTCCACAATGACACGTGTCACCATTTTACTTGTTTTTAAAAAATAAAATTAAAAAAAAAAAAAAATTCCTAAAGCTACCGTTCCACCCCATCCCCACCACTGCCACCTTCTTCTCCACCCTCACCTAGCGCGGCCGCCGGCGCATCCACTCACCCTCTATTTACCCGACCCACCTGAACCCTCCCCCCTCCCTTTCCCCAGCCCTAAACCGCCCTTAACACCGCCAATAGCACCGCTAAACGCCCAAACCGCAACCCTCCTTCCCCAAAAACGGCGACGAATTCGGCCATTAATGGCTGAAA